TGTCAAGGTGGGCATGCTGGAGGAAGAACTGTGACTCCCCACATTGGGAAACATGGTCATGTCACCTCAGAAGGTGGCCAAAATCTGCCCATACTGGAGACTATGCTGTCCTTGAATATTCTTTTTTTTTTTTAATAAGAAGTGAGGATTGAATTAACCCAAGGTCTTAGCACTAAGTTATATCCCCAGTACTTTTTTATTATTTTATTTTATTTTATTTGTAGACAGGATCTCACTATGTAGGTTAGGCTGGCCTTGAACTCACAGAAATCCTCCTGACTCAGCTTCCCAAATGCTGAGATTATAGGCATGTATCATCATGCCCAGACCAGTATTTTTAGATAAGCAAGTTATATACCCTCAAACATAAATTAGAAGCAACCAGAATACCAAAAAGCACCACAGAAAAGTACTCAGTTACTACTAACATATTTAAACAGCCACAAGTTCAGGTCTCCCAAGGGAAACACCTTAGGAAACCACCAGCAGTAAAAAGCTAACCATATACATCTTGTCAGTCCTTTAAAAGAAACATGAACCCCAAGCCATGAAGTCCCCAAGTTACAAAAGCAGTAATTCCAACACACAAAGTAAATCTCATTTTTCTTCTACTCTAATGTGTGGCAAGAGGTGAAAGACAATACATAGTAACCAGGGCCAGTGATCTAGCTCAGTGGTTCCACTGCCTGCCTCGCAAAGGTCCCGATTTTGATAACAGTACCAAAACAAACAAACCAAAGAGTAACCAGGGATTTTTAAAAATATGCAATACTGATTGCATTTTAAAATGTATATGACAAAGCTGGGCATGGTGGCACATGCCTGTAATCCCATTACTTGAGAGGCTGAGGCAGGAGGATCTCTTCGATTCAAGGCCAGCCTGGGCTACAAAGCAGATTCAAGGCCAACCTAAACCACATAGTGAGATAGTGAGACCCTGTCCTAAAAGAAAAATAAAAAGGTTATGTTACATAACCCATATATATCTTTCACATACAAATAAAAACGTTCACACATATGCACAAATACAAAGGCAGCCAGTTAGAACATGATGTAATTGAGTAGAAAAAGAAACCTGGCTTATAAAACGGCTAACAAGTACATTCTCAATCTCTTGTAAGAGGTTCTAATCACTTACCCCAGGTTAAAAGCTGCAGTAGTTTACATACCTGAAATATAAATTTAGGTTAAGAGCAACTGCAGAGTTGGGGGAGCTGACAATCACTATAACATCCAGATCTGGAGACACTTCCATTGAGGTAAAATTGGCTGGTGTCTGTTGCTGTTTATTGTACATATCTTCTTGGTGAAGTGTTAAATCCACATAAGCTACATATGTGCCATCCACAGTGTCAAAAATATCTTTGAGTTAAGAGTTAAAGGAAATGTTATTTTTATAAATACAGCTAGATATTTCAAATAGGATGAGACAGAATTACAGCCTGGAAATTGTATGATATCTACAAGACTGTAGCAATGAAAACATACTTAAAACTTGTCCAATAACTGAGTCAAGTAGCAGCTTTCCAATCTAAAGCAATTATGTAAACTATTAATAAAATTAAGAACTTAGGTCCCAAGTCACAATATACAATGTCCAATGTTCAATAGTCACACATGCCCATTGAGAGGCTAGCAAAAAAATTGTTATCTAATGCTGTATGACAGTTTTATAAAAATGACATGTGTAAAATAGAAAAATGATTCTTTTAATTCAGAAGTAAAAGTTAGAAAATCATAAATAGGGGGCATTTTTCAAATTTTCATAATAATTTTGCTGATGGCCTATAGAGCTAGAGACAAAGATCCTCTAGTAGTTTACAAAACCAAGTTAACAACAGTTAAGCAAATTCATTTATCAAGATGACAGAGAGCCAGGCCGGGGATTTAGCTCAGTGGTTCCGCTGCCTGCCTTGCAAGTGCAAGGTCCTGAGTTCAATCCCTAGTACCAATAAATAAATAAATAAATAAATAAAAGATGATGGAGAGCCATGCACAAGGCACAAGCCACCTTTAATCCCAGCACTCCAAAACCCTGTCTCAAAAAACAAAACAAACAAGATGATGGAGTCATCACTAGACATAAGGGGTACATCATACATAAAAAGATATGTATTACATAATAAGCCTAAATCCACCCTGCAATGTTCACATAATAAGTGCTTTAAGAAACAAAGATATTTTTGTTTTGTTTTTGGGTTTTTGAGCAGGGTCTCCCTTTGTAGTTCAGGCTGGCCCTGAATTCACTACGTAGCCCACGCTGGCCTCAAACTCGAGGTGATCCTCCTGCCTCAGCCTCCCAAGTGCTGGGATTACAGGTGTGTGCCACCACGCCTGGCTTATTTTGTTTTCTTGAGATAGGGTCTTACTATGAAGCCCAAACTGGCCTGGAACTCCCAGACGTCTTCCTGCCTCAGCCTTCCAAGTGCTGGGATTATAGGCATGTGCTACCACACCTGGTGCCAAGAAGTTATATTCTGAATAAATAGGTAATGTAGAGCATTTGCAGTATTAACGAATGAAAATAGTAAAAATGATTATGACCACACACACACACATATATATATATTTACGTACATAACTAAACACTGAAAGATTTGAATAGAATACAAATGATATGGTTATATTAAGCATACGAGAATCTTTTTCCCTGAAAAGTTGTACTAGAAAACTAATCACTCTCCTTACACCCCAGCCCTTAAAATGTTTTCATGTTCTCCTCCCTTACATATCAGTCTACTATTTACTGCCAAGGATACGGATCCAGCTTAAACTACTCAAAACAAAAAGAATTCCTCTGCAGACCTGTGAGTCAATGATGGTGTCTATTGTCTGTGCCGGCAAGGGTAATGTAAAACAACAGAGTGCTCTAATCTCAGCATCTCCCTCAGGAAACACAACATGAAGGATGATACATTTGTTGATGAACAGTAACGATGTGTTACTGTGAAATGACAAAATTCTCAAAGACAGTAAGGAAAAATCTGCAAAACAAAAGGATATTTTCAACCCACTGCTCAGTTTTTCATTGGTAAATTTGAGCTTATAAGCATAACACAAGAAAACAAGAGTAACTGCACTTAGTCCAACTAACTCACGGCAGTTACTGTCCATACTCACCTAAGCAAGTGGTCACCAGAAGATGAGTAAAAAAAGGAAGAATAAAATAGCTCATAATGTCCCTGGTTCCTTCTGTTTATGTTCAATCTGAAAGCACACCAGAAGGAAAACTCCAAAAGGCCAACATAGGGCTGGGTCTGATGACACGTGCTCAGAAGCCCAGAACTTGGGAGGCCAAGGGAGGAGGCCATCAGTTCAAGGCCAGCCTGGGCTACACAGTGAGTTTGAGGCCAGCCTGAACTATACAGTGAGACCTCGTCTCAAAAACAAATGGCCAAATTACCCAAGGGACCCCCACAGTAACAATCACAGCCTCTCACAGCCCCACATCACTCTTGGAAAAATGAAGGAACCTATGATCCAGAGTAGACAATATGTTACTGCCTTAAAAACAGAGGCCTGTGTGCTTTGATTTCTGCTCCCTGAAGCCATTGAGACAGGACATAGATCTTGTAGAAACATGTAATTAATTTTAATACTATATTTGTTTGGCCCCTATCCAAAATATCATTTCAGCATCTAATGTAAGAAATTACTGAGGGCTGGGAATGTAGCTTAGTGGCACAGTGTCCGCCTGGCAAATGTGGGGCCCTGAGTTCGATTCCTGGTACCCCCCCAAAAAAATTATTGAAATGATTGTTATCTAGCACTAATTTTTTAAAACCCAGGAATATGACATATAAAGCACATCTTTATTCATACTGACCACAACTGAAGTACTAAACAGGCCCATGCTGTTAATGGCTACTATCTGGACAATGCAGGCTCCCTCACTGATTTCATCTCTATGAGAACTTTTCATGAAATATATAAAAATACATAAATACATATCACAAATTTAAACACACTGAAAGACCACCTGTAGGCACTTACTGATATCTTGATCTTCAATGAGCTTTTGCAGAGTCTTCACACTACAGCTATATAACACAGCTGCGTCACATCTTCCATCTTTCAAATTAAATTCATAGATAAGCAGTTCATAATTTTCACTAAGAGCAAGCAGTTTTGGCTTGTGTGTTGGCGTGCTGCTGTTATCAGAATCCTCCCACATAAACCTAAAGGAAATGTTTAGATTTACTGCATTCTATATCCACAACTACATGTATCCACAAGAGTAGGCAGAATGACTAAAGCTGACTTCACAAAGTATCAATTCTACATTCCAATTTAACAGAATATAAACTACCCTAAGACTTCCCTCCTCTCCTCCCTTCCCCTTCCTCATTTCTTCCCCCTGTGCCCCTTTACACTAACATAATTGAGAAGTAGGTGATAAAAAGCGGGCATGGAACAAAAAAGTCACCTTTTATTTCTTCATCTTAAATCCAGACTGATGTATTTAAAGAAGCTGTCATGATCAAAGATACGTATCAACAGTTAAATATGTAGGATACTATTTGAGGTGGCACATTTAATAAAGTAGGCTTTTATTTACTAGGTTATATATTTTCAAAGACTAAAAATAAAAGTGATTCTTTGTATCCATCAACTCTGAAAGCTCAGTTGGCCATGGCAGTGCATGCTTGTAATCCCAGGATTTGGGAGGTTGAGACAGTAGGATTGCCCTGTGTTTGAGACCAGCCTGGGCTATACAGTGAGTTCAAGGCCAGTCTGAATTACATAGCAAGACCCTCTCAAAAAATAAAAAGCCTCTGCAAGCTCCAAGATAATACATTATAGAACAAGTCTGTCTCACAGAATTTTTGGTGATAATACAAGTGATCTGTATTACTGCCGCTGAAGACAGTAGCTTATGGTCATACATGGCTACGGAATACTTGAAATGTGGGTAGTACAACTGGGGAACTGAATTTTAAACTTTATACTGATACCCACATGGGGCTAATGACTATCATACCAGACAAAACAGTTACAGAATTCTTAAAAAACTGTAGTATGAAAACAATTCCAGCTACAATGGAAAAGATGGAGAGAGACTAATGATGCTACAACTTCAATTATTACATTACATTTAAAAAAATGAAAATAAAAGGGCTGAAGCCAGGTACAGTGGCATGTACCTGGCATGTAGCTATTCAGGAGCTGAGGTAGGATTGCTTGAGCCTAGGAGGTTGCCAGATTAGGCAATATAGCAAGACCCTGCTCAAAAAGACAAAATAAATGGTCCAAATCTGAAAACAATGCAATAGAAATAAGACTACCATGCTAATAAAGTTTCATCTTGGAGCCCAGCATGAAGTGTTATAATCTCAGCATTCCAGAGGCTGAGGCAAGAGGGGCTAAGGCAGGAGGCTTGTAGAGTTCAAGGCCATTCTGGGTTATACAGTGAGTTCAAGTCCAACCTGAACTGCATAGTGAGACCCTGTCTCAAAAACCAAAACCAAACAACAACAACAACAAACAAGTTTCATCCCCCTATCCCTTTGTAGTTCAGGCTGGTCTCAAACTCTGGGCAATTCTCCAGTTTCAGCCTCTGAAATCCTGAGATTACAGGCATGTGCCACAATGCCCACTGCTTATCTTTTATCTTTTAAAAACTGTCTTTTTCAATGGGCATGCCTGTAATTTCACTACTGAGGGAAGTGGAGGCAGAAGGACTGCAAGTTCTAGTCCCACCTGGACAATTTAGCGCGACCCTGTCTCAAAATAAAAAAAAAAAAATTTTAAATGGGCTAGGGATATAGTTTAGTGGTAAGAGAGTGGTTTTAATTCCCACTACAAACAACAAACAATCTGTTTTTCTAGCAAATTAATAAGCTTTAAATCAGTAAACGGAAGGGCTTGGTGGTATTAAGTCCTTATTAGAGAAAAAGACCAACAACAGTTCACATTTCTGTCTCTGTATCTGGACTGGTTTTTCATAAATACCCTATTTCTGACTGTCTACATTGAAAATGTGGAAAACCTAAATATCAAATATAGAAAAGCTTAGGTAAACTAAAATAATATCTAGAAGACACACTACTGTTACACCACTAAAATCATTAGCACGTGGACTGTCTTGCCACCTGGGAAGAGGTAATTTTGAATGAAAAAATCAAACTATATAAGATGCAGAAACTCCAACAGTATAAAAGACTTGTACTTTGAGAAAAGTAGGAAGTAAACTTGTTTTTACACTGTAAGGTATTTTAATTGAAGTTCAGCTCAGTTCAAATGAAAAAATCAAAAGGCAGCTGTTAGTCCTCACCTCTAATTTTATGAACTGGCATGTGAAGACCCGCATAGGTCTTATCTCCTCTAATTCTCATATACGTACAGCATCTCTCATGCAAAAAGAAAAGGTACTGCTTTTTTCTCTGCCCCACTCTGGGGTGATACTTGATATTGCTAAATAACTTCTCTTATGGAGGTTCTTACTCCTAGCTACCAGGGATTAAAAAATAAAGAAGGTAAACAGAACAAGTTAAAGCATTCACCTATTTAACTGTCAGATGCTCTTTCCAAGGCAAGACATCTCTTAGGGCCACTCAAGGAGTTAACCCTTCAATACCTAGAGTTCCATTTTTGGGACACCCATAACAACGGAACATAATAAATTTTTTCTCTTCGAATTCTTGTTTCTTGAATTTTTCTAGGTAACATATATAAATGCAAAAATAAAATAACTGCAATCTTTGGCATAAATGGGTTAAAGACATTCTTTCAAAAATATTTCCTATTAAAACCCAAAATACCCAATTGTCAGGAGTCATTCCCAAACTTTTACAACATCAACCCTAAGTCGTGGACTGATAATGACAGAAGTGGCAGATAATACATTATTGTAATTACACTGCCATCTTCCCAAGTCACGGGAGCCTCACATGCAAGAATTATGTCTTGCTCAACTTTATAGGCACGGCTCCTAATAGGAGGCGGTAGGTTCCTATTTGTGAAACAAATTATTAAGGGAACGGACCAACAGGACTCCCCAGCTGAAAAACCTAAGTGGATAGGAAAACGCAAATTTCATCGACACACACACACCAGTCAAGGAGAAAAACAGAGCTGATGCCCAGACGGCACGCTGAACTGAGGAAAGTGGGGCGAGCCCTCGCACGGTGACATTTAACCGAGCTGAAAGGACCTTTCCGCGTTGCTGGGCCGGTCCCGCCGTCTCCCCGGGTGTCGCCCTCCCGCTCCACACCACGCCTCCCGGCTTCCCGCCTCACTTACTGCAGGAAAGGGCCCTGCAGGCCGCAGCCGCCCCCGCCCGGGCCACCCGGCACCAAGGAAAGCACTTGAAGGCTGCCCGCGGGCGTCAGACTCCCGAGGATCACTGTTTTACAGCTGGAGAAACTGAGGACAGAAATCAAGCAACCTGAGCTCCACGAGATCCAGCTGGCAGCAGAGCCAGGCTTCAAACCCAGGCTGCTGGTTCCAGGATCTCTCCATGTTATTTTGTTTCTTTCTTTGGAGATCAGAATTCATGAATAATTGGCTGTTCATGAAATATGAAGAATACAAAAACTGAAACTGGTTTCCCAATGTGACCTAGTAATATTTCCTGAGTACTTACAACAAGCCTGTCTTACCATGAACTAAGTAATCGCAGAAACCTTGTGAAATGGGTGGTATTACTATGCCCACTTCACAGATGGGGAAACTGAGGCACAAGGAGGTTACATAGTCTCATGGTGCCCCTATCGCCTGGGATCAAGAGACACACCCTAGACCCAGGAACACATACGGCCTCTCTTGCCCTGGGGGGCACACCCACAAAGACTTGGAGGATTGGAGGTTTAACAGCACCAACCAGGA